GACTTGTTAGGTCATCTTAATTATACATGCTAAATTCTAACCTGAGGAACAGAAAACTGTGAAGATTCATAGTTGAAGAGTAAAAGAATTCTGAACTCCTAACACTTTATTTATGCTCTATTTTGCTTTTTGAATAATGGTTGTCATATATAAAATGGAAGTGTATTTATGCTCAGGGTTTTGTGAGTTTTTTCTTCTTTCTGTGTAATATGTGTACAGATTAAGTAAGTGAAGTATACCAAAATAGAGTTTGTTGCCCCCCTGTTTTCCAGAATATTTTTCTATTTATACATTGAAGATGCCAATATCGTTAGAACTAATAAAAGCATTGTTATAATAATTATAATTTCTGCAGGAAAGTTCAAAATTAATTTTTTACTCCAGGCTAAAATAAGGATGAGCCCCTGCAAATTTAAGCATTTTAAGAAAAAAGCTGTCTGAAGTTACACTAATTAAATATTTTTATTTCATTATGGTATGCTTGGGAGTTTTATTGACTTATAAGTCCATTTTTTCAGAAGAAATCATAATCTGGTTGAAAAACAGTGAGGTTTTATTAATGCCAAGTCATTCTGTTCAAGTGGTTGTTAAGTACTAATCACTTTCAAATTTCAGAATTCAGTATACAGTTTATGGAAAATAATAAAGTAATGAGTATATCATATATCAGAGAATTGTTAAAGAGCTTCGATCTAGTTAAAAGTTGTTTAATACTGGATAATACAAAGTTCCAATGCTAATAAGCCACCCTGTCTGGAGTCTAACTTCCAAAAAGCGCTTTTTGAACTGCTAAAGAGTAAGAATAGGTGGTGAGAAGCAGGGAAATGCGTGAATGAATCAATGTTTGCCTGTTTCCTTTTGGCAAAGTAGCTATTCTGGATTTTACATGGAAATATGTAGCAAGTCAAATTTAAAAAAAAAACTCACTTGTATGTATTGCTGAATTAAGTCAGGAAGTGCAGGATCAAGTGAGAATTAATTAAAAAGTTTTCCTAGTCTGAAAAAAAATTTAATTCAGCAATACATATAAGCAAGGTGTTTTTTTTTAAATTTGACTTATTACATATTTCTGGGTAAAGTCCAGAATGGCTACTTTGCCAAAATGAAACAGGCAAACAGCAAAAAAACACCCAGATTTGAATTTAAAATGGACAAAAATGCATTTTTTTTGTTTCCTTTGGGCTTTTTCACCTAAGTAACAAGAAGAAACAAGAACACAATGATAAATAGATACTGAAATGTTAGATACAGTTAATTCTACTAGCAAGAAAGATAAGGTATTGCAATAGTTTGATCATTGACTCTTCTTCTGCAATTTTCTAAAGGCATGGTTTATTACCTCTGGCAACATTATTATTACTGTATAAATTCCTGTAATTTTATCATAAGAAATAACAGCCATGGCATGTCACAATTTCATGTGATGTTCACTTTTATCAGCACTATATTTTTTTTATTTCTGGTTAGTAAGAGTAGGGTGATACAAAAAAAATGGTCAAGACTGCTGAGAATACTTAAAATAAAAGGAGACTACAAATTTAAGAAATAAATATATTTAAGTAGCTCAGTAAGCTATACCGTGTGTGCACATGTATATCTGCACAAGTATGTGACAGATAAAAGGATACAAATACACTTGAATAGCAACATATTTTTATTATTATTTCTATGTCATGAGGACAAATACCATTTTGATTATGCTCAGACATTAAGAAACATGAAAGTACCATCAAATGCACAAATAAGGTCTATTACTATATGAATAATTATAGAAAAATGTATTCAGAGTCGACCAGTGTGACTTCCACAGGACTTCTATGTATCATATTAAAAGTATACTCACATTTTTCTTTCTTAGAAATTAGTTCAGACGTTAGAAGAAATCATTTCTTACAAATATTTACACAAGCACAACTTTTGTCTCAAGAGAACTGCAGAAAGAAAGTCTGAATAGTCTGAAAGAATATAGCAAGTGATTTTCAATATTTCTACAGATTTTCTGGAACCATGGAAAAAACAAAGCCAATTGTACTGTAGTTACTCTAGTTACTCTCCTAAAACATAGAAGGCATTTAGTTTCTTTGTTATACCAATAAGTAAACATTCACTACTAGAATTGTTCAATATGGCAGTATTGATTAAGTAGTTTAATTTTTATATTTTTTTAAAAGTCCATACAAAGAAATACTTAAGAAATCCCAAGAGGAAAATGAAATGTGATTGAAAATTTGATTTTGGTCACTTTTTCTCTCTGGTGTGCTAAGCCACGACCTTTTCCAGAGCTGTGCTGAGGAACAGCCTAGAAATAAAGGAAAAACTATCATAATTGAACTCAATAGGATTCACACTTGCAAATTTGACTTGGAACATTCCAAGGAGATGGGATGATGTTTTATACCAACTCTGTATTGCATTAGGACACTAAAAGGTAAAATAAATTATGAGGAGAATTATATACTAGTTAGAGAGTTATACAAGTCTACAGAAAAGACCTTGAAACAATTAATACTGGGAACTCTATGAATCATAAATAAGAAAAAGCAGTATTAGAATTATATTGATAGTTCTAACTATCCTAAGGGCAAAGTCAGCATGGTGACAAAGTCTGGGGTAGAAGTATATCACACAAACATCACTGGAGCTGAAAAACTACAATTCATAACTTTCTGGTTTTACACCACCAGAAAAATTTACTTTTCACTGAGGTCCTTAAACGATTTATACAAACTTCAGGTTTACATTTGGAGCGAGTTTTAGGTGTTTTTTGAACCTAGTTAAATGGCATTTAGCTGTGTGGTTCAATCAGAATGTATTGCCATTAAGCAGTCTTCTTGCTAATTTTTTGTGATTAAGCTGTAGAAGTAATCAACCAGTGAAAATAAAGCGTTTCCAGTCCAGCCCATATCAGTCAGAGCACTCCATAGCACCAATATCTGTGAAGAGCCTTTGATTCCCAAGTCCATTTCTGACTTTAAATATACATGATAACAGTGACATGAAAGTCAAATTTTACAGATTTAACTGACTTTATAACTTCCCTGATTATAAGTCAATAAAATGGCTTATTTTATTCTGAGCACAGAAAGAACATTGTGCAATGACATCAAGATTTGACTTTCTTTCACACCATCGAAATGGACATGCTGTGGATGTTTTTTCTGTATCTAAGGGCCAGATCAAAATAACCTTGTAATCTCATAATGCTTGCCAAGATTGTTAGCCCTTTAATATAATTTATATTCTATCTGCAACTCTCAGGTATTTAAAACACAGGTTTTAAATAAACAAAGCACTTTTAAAAGCTTAATCAACAAAAAGAATGACCATAAAATATTCATCACAGTTTCTATGAAAACTTGGTTCCACTTGGAGCATAGAGGGCTCTTAAGGGTCCAGAAGAGAAGCCACTGTGTTCTTCACACACTTTTTTATACTTTTCTATCCTGAGGCAAAGTAATGATGTAAAGTATTATTCTAACAGAATCATATAATAGCAATTATAGGGTTCTGTCTCACATCAAAAGGTTTTCTGAGGAAAGCACTTTCTTTACAGCACCACAGAAGATGAAAAACATGCAACTGGCCCACAGAACTCTATTCCAATATTTATTATTCCATTATTTTTCACCATGGCCCTATGTTCTCATAAAATAACTATCACTACTGATCTTGGTAAATATCCAAAGGTCTGAGATCAGTTATATCTTTGAGCAATACGTAAAGTATACAGCTACAATGAATGAGAAGTGATGTAAATTTTAATTTCAAAAAGATAAAAAAATAATTGAAAATATTAATGCAAACAAGGAAGCATGAAACAATGACTTACAGTAATAAGCAGCAGCTATATATAAACCAGATGCATGCTTCATACAGTTTTCAGATTCTGGGGGGTTCATTTTTTTGTTTGAATTTATTTAGAGAAATGAGCAATATAACTTTTAAACTACCATGTGATGCAATCTGTAAATATAGTACAAAGAAATCAGTGAACAAATTAAATTTAAAATGTTTCAAATCATCATGTTCAAGACATTATATATAGTAAGTATATTTTAAAAGTTTTTTTTCTCTAAAAATGGTAATTTTCTAGAAAAAAATAAACTAATTTGTTAAAATATTGATTGTAATTTAGTAGCTAATATCAACAAGATCATTAGATCTTATCAGTAGAAAAAAATGGTCAAATAGTTGTGTTATGTGGAATAATTAATACAGTCTTGGCATCTGATTACTAAGATACCTGTCTTCAAGAAATAGAATTTTCTATTTTTCAAATGGAAGATGAAAAGCCTAAAGAAAACAAACAAAAAAACACCTAACAACAACAAGAAATCCCCTCAAAACAAAAAGCAAAGCCAAACAAAACCCAACTACCTAAACTGTTAAGGGGCCAAAGTGGAAAATCTTTCAACAAATTTGAAGACTAAAGCAGATCTAATGTAGGATGTCTTTTAAAACAGATCCCTTCCTGACATTATAATTCCAGACTGAATTCCAGCTAATGAGCAGAAAAGCACCAAAACCTAGCAATGAGTTTGTTTGCAGGAATATAGTTGTGATTTTTATGAACTGAAGTGAGAACAAAGAATAGTGGCAATGGAAGGAAAGAAATTAAAATAAACAACTGGATTAATTAATCAGATTAATCTGAAAGCACAGAAAGTAAAAAAGATAATAATACAGTCCTGTTCATAATACTAATAAAATATTTTCAAGCAAGATATATGTAAATATTAGAAAGTCCACATTATTAATGAATGAATATTAAACGAATAAGACACAAAATGCAGAGAAAGAGACAATTTTCATTAGCTTGGTTTTTGTCCCATAAAAAAATTTCACCAGCAAATTAGGGAAAGTAGGTGAATTTGACATTTAGAATATGGCATTATAATTTGAAAAAAAAATACAACATGTGTAATTTTGAAAGTCAATATAACCATGTATTCAATCTGCAAAATATTGACAGAAACAACATAGTTACTCTCTGACTCATGTTTACAATAATATTTGGTTACATACCTCCAAACACTTTTAATAGCAAACAAAAAGTTAAATATTTTTTTTATAGCTTCACAAACATATAAAAAAAGGAACCAAATACTGGTATTCATACCGTCATAAATCCATCCAGCAAACCTGAATCAGGCTTCGGGGGTGCTTGCAAGCGCTCCATAGACCACTTCTCAATGATAGATGACACCTGGGTATTTTCTGTGTTTAGGATTCTGAATCCAGTCATATTAACACCACTGTACCGATAGGGTTCCACATCCAAGGCAAACAGGTCCTGAAAAAATTATCGTTGTATAAGTTCAGTAATACACTGCAGTGCTATTTCAGTTGTTGGACCATCTCCCCAGAGGAGAGCATGGTAATTTTTCACTGCTGTTTATGCTAGGAAGCGTGTTCTGATTATCTGAGGGCCCGTGTCTGTGAGCAAGCAACTTGGCTGCCCTTATGGTGGGAGTAATCTGATTCTAGGAGGAAGAACAAACTTTCAGGAAATGTTAGCCCAATTACAGAACTGTATCTACTACTAGGTAGGCTAAAAGGCTGCAGTAAGCTTAAATATTATTTTCAATTTCTAAATATTAATATTAATTGCTAGTTCTTGAACTTAACCAGAAATCAAACAGACATCAAATAATAAGATAAATTGGACAAGAGTTTCCTTGAGCTTTCACTCTCAGGGAAACTTAAGTTAATCTTTGGAGGATGAATTGGTGGAGTGGAGTAGGCTGGGAGTGGAGGTGGTGTTGAGCAGGGACAAGGAGAAACGTACATAGCTTTAAATTTAATCAAAAGAATTCTTCACTGTCATAAACATACTTCCCAGTATTGACATATCTTTGATTAGGAATTCATCTTTGCAACAATAACTTTTAGTAATTTATGTTTTTGGTATATCTGTGTGTGTGTACAATTAGCCCTCAAACACACAGAGGGGGAAATATAATTAATATAAAGTAAAACAATTCAAATTTTAGCTCAAGAAGTAAATTCAAGGTTATCCTAGTGCTTTAATCAAATCCTAAGAAACTATGTAGAAACAGTACTTGACTTCAGGAAACTCAGGTCCAAATCAAGTTTTGAACAGGGGGAAAAGGAAAATGTAATCAAGGTTATATATAATATATTATTTCCCTATAACATAATTTTAATTTATTGAACATGGAAATTTTCTCCATAATTCATAGGCAGTCATTCATCTAATTTTTAATTTAATTTTTGTTGTCAGGTAGCTTTAGATGTAACACTTGCCTGAATCAATTTTTTTTACTGCCCAAAGCTGAAGAAGGATGCTGTACTACGGAATAATCAAATATAACACCCATTATTAACTTTGCAAAGCCCACAAAAATATAAACCACTTATCAATCACTACCCATTTTTAATTCTATAGCTAGAAATATGATATACTTTTCCATATGCAATATCTAGGATATGCAGGTTTCAAAATTCTTTTAAAATAACCTAACTTGCATCCTCTTTGCAGAGAAATAAAACATTTTATTGCAAAGGAAATGTTGGATGTAACTAGAACTATGTTACATCTTTCTCTTTGAAAGATTCTCTCAGCTTTTACTGTTCAAGATGTCAGAACCTTGAACGCGATTTTTTAATCCTAACACATTCATGTTTACACTGGAAGGTAATAAATATACACAATATTATCATGCATATATTACAAATGCACACAGGTCAGTGTATTAATGAGCCAGCACATTACATCCTGAATCAATCAAGAGGAGATTACACAGAAGACTGTTGTAAACACTGTGACTGGAAAATTTATTTGACAGTACTTTCACCATGTCAGGTAAGAAGCAATTAATATATAAAATCAACTAAATTCTGATGCTGGTTCCAGAGCTACATTGCAAAATCAAAATCTATGATATGTTTGTACACAGTAAATTGTCTCTTGATAGTTCCTATCAATGTAATACTCTTGTCTCCACAGAAAATCTAATGTTTTAATAAGTAAATAAGAACGACAGAAAATTCTCTTTTTAAACAGAGCTTTAGGAGTGAAAATTCAATGCCAAAGGACAGCATAGTACTCATAGAAACAATTTTCACCAATAAAAAATAAAAATAAGAAAAATTAGAAAAAAGGCTTAAAAACATCTATAATCCATTTTTATGGAGGGAAATCTGTTTAGTGAGGGAAATCCTATTGCATGTAATCCTAAATATGTAAGTGACAGAACAATTTACCCATCTAAAATAAGCTAGGTATATGTGCAGGATGTGCCTTTGAACTTCAGAAATTATTTTGCTTTCTATCCAACTAGCTATTTCGTGTTAATACTTCCCATGAACTTCTGCTTTGTGATTCTGAGGTGGACTCCTACCCTACCACAAAGGGGGGCACATCACATTTTCATAAGAACTTAAACATGTATGTGTCTTTAAACATGGGTCATTTCAAGCATGGTTTTGTCAAGGCACATCTGTCTCATGTTTGTCTCATACTTTTTTTTAAAATAAATACTGAACTGCAATCTAATTAGACAAAACTGAGTACAAATTCAAGACAGAGAAATCTGTCTCTCTGGAGACTCTGTGGTCTCTAGAATAATATTTTACCAACTTTTAAACTCTTTCATAGTTAGGCTGTGGTGAGCAGGAAAAAGGATACATGTGTTTTTTTCTGAGAGCATTCACATTTTAAATGTTTATTTATTGCAAATGATAAATCCAAGCATGATCAAATTCCTTCTAAGTTACATTTACAGTGGACACCAAAGAATATTGCATAATTCATGTGCCTAAAAAACTCATACAAATTGTTAAATAAAATGCTGCTAAGATTCACACCAAATTATTCATGAATCATATGACAGAGAAGAACTACTTTGTAAAATGTTGGATTAAAAATATGGAACATATGAGTAAATTTTAAAATGTCTTAAACTTCCCATACAAACAGCTAAAAGACAAAAAGGACAAAACATAAAATAAACAATGAATTATGAATCATACATCTAACCCTTCTTGACAGTTAAAAGCTGCAGTGCTACAGCCAGATGCTTTTTTCAGGTCTATCAGTTTCCAGGGCTCACAGTTGAACAATAATTAAACCATCCTGATGAGTTTTCACTGAAAGTAAGGAAACTCAGCAAAGAAAAGCTCACATCCCATTCCAGAGTGACCTTTTCCACTATGTTAAGTAATATAATTAGGAAAGTAACATCTTTGTAGGATGTCATCACTGCATTTTTTCACAAGCCACTTACCAGTGTGGTAAAGATATAGTGATAGTATTCTGTCATCATCCCCATAGCTAAAGCCTTGAAAAAAATAAACAAAAGATTAATGTTTCTGAGACCACATAATACATTTTTATCACACTCACATGGCAAATGAAACGCTTGCAAAAGAGCACTACTAAGATCAGACTATAGGGTTGGAATTATGCTAAAATTAGGTCAAGCGAGTCATTTCTTAGCAGTTAGAGAAGATTACTGACTATTAAAGGAATTTATGAACCAGATCTTCTGATAGAAAGAATATTATTAGACTGTTTAGTGCAGTAAATGTGAAAGAGCCTTGTATTTCTACATGCTAATGGATACATTAAGTTACAACACATAATTTGAGTCGACAATATTTTCATTCATTATTGAACCCTTCCTTTATAATAAATTACCTACTAGGATTTTTTTTTCTATTTTGATGAACAATACTATGCATTCAAAAGAAGGACCCAAACTTATATTATAGATGTACACATTTTTCCAACCATGGAAGAAAATGCTCTTGAGTCAAATTTTGAATAGCAAGAGAGATACTACTTAAATAAAAATGAACAAATATTCATAGAATTACTTTATAAATTCAGGTATCTCTCAAGTGCCTTCATCGCTCTTACTAGTTATGTAATACCAAATAGTTTTTGATAAACTGTGCATTTTAAGAGTTCATGCATTCCTCTCAACTGCATAAAAAAATATTTGTAGGTAAAAAACTATGTTTCATCGTTTTTACTCATTAAGGGCATTTTCTCCTGAAAAGCACGTATCCTGACACTCTGCACAAAAGTTGCCTTAGTATTTTCTTCCTTTCCAGGAGCTATCAAAGGAGTTCTTTGCCAAGTTGCTACCAGATGGACTCCTTAAAGACACTGAATGCCACAATTATACTACTGTGACAATGCCAGAATTTGTATTAAAAAGAATTGTCAGCATTCTGAAGGCTGTGGGAGCCTTTTCACTTGTAACACGCTCTGAAAAATGATGAAATGAATAGTCTATATGATCTTTTCCAAAGAAAAAAATCTAAAATTAATCCAAATATCAGTGGTAAATCCGATTTTACAACATGTTAAACAAGATTTTGAAAAAAAGACCCATACTGTTTTTCCAAAGAATGCGTATACTTGTGTACTTAGAATTCTACAACAGGATTTAGAACTATATAGTATAGTATAGGTATAGTGTTCCAGTAGCAGTTAAATTGTCTTAAACACAAGTAAACCACATTAAAAAACTTCATTAGGAACTCTACAACTACATACATTCTTAGCTTTTATAAGAACTTACTTTTTTTAATAAAACAGAATTATCTTCCTCTATATATGTAACACATTTTCAGTCACCATATCATAACTGCTTCTAATCAAGTCTTTCATACTCCAAAGGATTCCTACAGAACATCCTACGCATGTTCCTTATTCTGCTATGCGATGATGATGTCTGTTTTTCAGGTCCTCCTTCTTTCACCTTCTCACTTCTCTAAAGATCTCACTTCTTTTTCCACTTCAAACATTGTAATTTCTCTGTTCTCACTATTACAATGCTTCCCTAATCTTTTAAATTATGTATGGTTTCCCTGGTTGCCTGGTGATGTAGATAACAATGAAATTTACCTTAATTTAAGTATGTTTGTCTGATTGATGGCATTTCTTTTTTCACTTTTCATTATGTATTTTTGGACAGTAAAGAGTAGTTGCTGTTTCACTAGGTTCTTAAGGTACTTCGCTTTCTTTATATTTTATCTTGTGTTGTGTTCCACCAGCTTCACTGTTAACCTTTCCAATAGTCATCTCAAACGAAACTCCTTGTCATGTGTCCCACAATTCATTCCTCCATTATTAGGAAAAGAAATCTGATAATTCAGTAATTCAGAAATGGATATATAAAGTGGGGTTTTTTTTAATAATCACTTATAAACACTATATATGGAATATGAGCATTAAAGAAGAAATATATTCTCAACACCCTTTGTGTCAATTTTGACAGCAAGTGCTCACATTCAGCTTCAAAACTACAAATTTTGGGTATATTTAAAGCATTTCAGTATAGGACTTGAATGGAAAAGTAAAAATCTACAGAATCTGCATAAATACCTAAACATTCATGTAAGAATTTTTTCTATATCTTCACTCTGTAATCTTTAGGATGAGCAGTGTACTTTGATTAAACAGTTCACAATTTGATTTAAAGAAGCTGAATGCTCACTCTTGGGTCCTGGGACATGATTAAAGATACAATGCTTTTAATATTGTTCCCATTTCCCTCTATTCATACATTTTTCACAGTGTTGTATACTGTGAAATAAAACATAACACCTTTGGAGTTTAAGTTTTCACCTAAAAACTTCTAGGTACTGTATAAGTAATGTATCTTGATGGAGTTTTTAGTATTTCAGCTTGATATTGACATCAACACATTTTTCATCTGCATTGTTTAGATTTTAAATATTTAAAATAATTAAATTGAAATTCAATGATTTGCCCTAAACAACTAGAATAACTAGGCTGGCTTATATTTAGAAAAAAAACCACCAGCAGAGGTTTAAAATTTCTAGGAACTAATAAAAGTTTTTCAATCAATGAACAATTAAGTAAAGAAATTATATTATATATGTAGTCTTACATGTAGTGATTTTAATTATACCCACACTAATACCTGCAAGTACCTCTGATGAGATGCGTATTTCCAACTCTTAAATACATTTTGTTTTCAATTTAGACCCTACAGTTTTCTAGCAAACATAACATAAACATGAATTAAAGTTACTAAAAGCTATGCATTAGAAGTGTAGAATACTGTTTCAGTTTAGGTAGTCTTCCTATTCTCTTTATTGGAAGTCATAAATTTAAAAAAGCTGTAGGGAAGATGGTCTCTGAGCCAGTTAAGTGTTTTGAATTCTACTGTATCTCATCCACTCCTCTCACATCAACCCAAATGTACTTGGCTGTTTTGCAGTTCCATTATTAGTGCAAAGAGAATATGGCTCTAAAATACCAATTCTGTCTTCTCAATAGAAGACATGAATGTGGTCTGTTGGTAACATGCTGTTCAAGTATCACTGTCTGATTAGGAACACACATCTCAAATGCATCAAATAAAACAAATATATAAATAAATAAATACATACATACATAAAGATTTGGTATATAAAATAATATTAAGCAAACATTTAAAACCATGCTTAAAGCATCAACTCAAAGTACCAGTTCTTCATAGTTGAAAGACTAATATACCTTCATGTTCCTCCTGAACATAAATTTAATTAAACTCTTTATAAAAGCATAATTAAAGCACCTAGCATTTGTGTAACCATTAAAATCACCTCTGAAAGCCTTGGCTGATTTTTAGTTAGGCCTCAGTAAAACTGACATACAATTTCCCTGCTTGTTAAATACCATTAGGTCTGGATAATACTTTTATTTACTAGGGATGAAAAAGATTAAGACATCTAAAGCAAAATGAGGATTACCTGCTTCAAGATGCCTGCTGCCATTTCATGGCTGCAGTCAAAGATTACATGGAATTCTTTGCCTCTTTTCATCTCCTTTAGCAATGGCTTTGCATCTTTTGTGTCAGCTGGTAACTGGCGGATTTTTAGTCTTAGGTTGTATCGTGACGGAGCCTTGATGAGCTCTTGTAATCGAATGAGACCTTAAAGAAAACAGGATTGGGGAGAAAAGAAAACTATCAAAACAAGAACCTGAACTGCTGGCAGGAGAACATACTATAAGCATTCACATTTTCCTGATTTTTTTTTCCCTTTTCAGTTGGTTGGAACGGATACACAAAAATGTTATTAAAAAGAAAAGTTAAGTATCTGTACTCACAACACTTTAGCACAAGTTTATTTTCTCTTAATATTAATGGAGAGTAAGCAGCCTCACTTAGGATTACCTTAAGATAGACAAATCTTCCTCTAGCATTATTGTGCAACTATGACATTCCTCTTCGGAGAACATGTTACCCTAATTTAATTAAAGCCATATCCCAGACTAATAGTTTTTAATCAGACTAGGCAGTCTCCAAAATAATAAATCAAGTTTGCATACAAAGTTGTGAATCATTTCAGCACTGTAGGACACTCTTACATGAATCTGTTCTCATATTTCTGTACTGAACAACTTTTCAAGAACAACAAGAGACAAAAGTAGCTTTACACTATTATGCCAGCTTTGAAATTAAAACCCCTCCAGAAAAAAGCTTACTATGATTGTGGAAGTGACTTTGAAATTAATTTGATTGCATGAAACATTACAGTGATTCATGATGTTCGAGTTTTCTGTACAAGTACTGAGTATTTTTATTATATCAAATGTCAAAGGGAAGACTGACTGTTCTTTCTTGACTGCAAACTTCTTTAAAAGCATTCTTTACTCGAAAGGGCAGAGTCCCTAATATGCATGTTTTATGCATATTTTCAGATGTCACACAAATCAGCTTCATAACACCTTTGGAGATGGGATGGGCAGTTAAGATGGAAGGAACTTTGAAATGGATAGAAAGAAGTGGAAAAGGGATTGTTTTTTTTTTTTTCTGCAGCAAGTTTAAACTACAAAATTTTGGTAAACAAATGTAAGAAACTACAAATTGACAGGTGCCTTGATCTATCCCCATTGCTTCCACCAAAACAATACAGGTTTGGTCTTTAACTGTAAGTCCAAGGTTTGTTAGAGAATGGCAAGAAGTGTTTTCCTGCCTACAGGAGTTTTTGAAGTAAATGTTAATGAATGAATGAATTAAGTAAAACTTAATGAATTAAATATATATCTTAATTTGTTTGAGAATCACAGACTATTCTGAGTTGGAAGGAACCCACAAAGACTACCAAGTCCAACTCTTACTTGAATGGCCCATACAGGGGTTGAACCCACAACCTCGGTGCTATTAGCTCCATGCTTTAACTACGATAACCTCAAGAAACGGCTGTGGGTGAAACCCAAGAATTCTAAAACTTCCAAGCTTTGTTCTGTTCCAGAGCATTACCCAAGAACATCAGTCCTTAAAGGTTCTAATTGGGTTGTTCAAGAATTTAAAAAAAAAAAAAATTGTAGTCTTCATAAATCTTATCACTATTGGGCTACCTCAGAGAACGAAAAACTCCTACCAGAATTTGAAATAGAAGATTTACAGATGCAGGAACTAGAGAAATTAAAGACTGAGAAGGAGGATGCTATGACAGTGTCTGCCTTCTGGGTTACCTATGTATCTGATAGAGAGGTGATGAGCAATAAGCAAAGTACCACATTGGAAGGCAGTACAAAAGGTAGAAAGCTACCACAGAAACCTGAGCATGAGAGTATGGGGAAGAAAACCTGTGAATCTCTTCCATGCTGGACCTCAGGGCTGAGCCAGTACAGATGAGCAGGCAAGCACATGAAGAAGTATTTATGCCTTCAATAACTGTCAATTACAATAGTAACCAGTGAGACTGATCAAAATATATTTTAAGATAAATTAAATCTGTAGTATAAGCAAATTTCAGAGTTTTCAAAGGTATGGTTCTTTCTCCTGTCTTCATCAATGTGAAATAAAAAGCGACCTTAAACTTTGAATGTGTAGTATTGTTCATAGCTGCTACATGTAGCAAAATATTTAATTTTAGTAATAGTTACAGTGAGTACATACTTCCATTTTTAAGATTTTAACATATATATTTCACCATGTTTCCAGCCACCAGCATTTGTGAAGTTGAGACGGATCATGGCGGGGAACAAAATATGTTCCAGTCTACTAAATGACTCACTTCAGTGGTCCACTTGGCCACCCACTATAAGGAATAAATTCTTCACTTGCATATGTTCAACAGCCTCCAGCTTGCTGGGCACTCAACAGGACGATTTTGGAAAACAAAACACTTGCATGGGAGTGAAGACAAGCAACTCTGAGGAGAGTGCATGCTGTGGGGTGCTACTGTGAAGGGGTGTCACAGGTGGCAAGTACCACTGCCACAGTTATCCTGCTTGCTGCAGAGAAACACCTCACAGAACAGAAAAATATCAGACAGTGCTGAACATACCTTACTCTGGTACTTTTTATTTCTCTGGTAAAACATTGAGAAGCAGAATTTCCTCATTCAGGCTTTAGTGGTAACTAGGAGCAAGTAAAGGCTTTCCAGTTCTGGATCACACTTCTAAAGCTGGCTCTTTTAAATACTAATGAAAGGCTAGATGTTTCCCTTTACACTGTATGTACCATTTAGGATGTAGTACTTGTGTTTTTAAAAGTATGCAAAGAATAAATTAGTTTTACTGGGTATAAAACTCACCAAAATAATTTTCTGAAGAGGAACAGAATAATTCATCTAAAAACAAACAAACAAATAAACAAACAAACATATCACCATACACAAACAAAACCTTTTCTAAATTAAATATTGAATAGTGGGTCGTTATTTGCAACTAAATTAAATATTAAGCACTGGAAAGATATAAACCAAAAGAACAAGGTCCTGCATGTAAACTGCAGCACCTGGGTTCATCTATGGACAATAACTGCTTCCCAATGCCTGGCTTTCACTGAGCTTCTCTTCCCCTGAGCACCCTAACATCCTGGCTTCTTCAGGAGCAGTTTCTGCAGTAGCAATGGCCAAAAAAGATCCAGGCAATCAGAACATTGCATGCGCAGTTGAGGACTAACCTGGCAATACATGTAGGATATAAATAAATTGTGCCCCTATCTTATAGTAACAATCTGGAGTTCAATTTTTCACAGCTATCAGATATCATGTGCTAAAGGCTTTTAACAGCAAAACCAATGTCTTGGAGCAACAAAAATTGAGCTCTACCTAACGTCTCTTTAACATTTAGTCCTGAATACACAGGTGAAGTCAGACAAATTAATTGTTTGCTTTCATTTTTACCAATTTTTTTTCTATTTTTTCTCTTTCTCCATTTGGATGATTGAGATTCCTAAGACTCAAAGATTGCTTGTTCCTACTGTGTGCAGTTTGTCTGTGGGCTTCAATTTCTGCCCTTCTATCCTTTGTACATTTCAGTCATTTTAGATCAAACAAACATATTCACACATTGACTAAGATTCTTGAGCTACTATTAATCCAAAGTATTATCATTGCTACTGTCTGACAATACAGGAAATGTCATAATAAGCTGATTATGCAGGATAGAAGTAACAAGCTGTCATGTACTGAGAAATAAAAGTTTCTCAATCAGCAAGGGACAGTTCCAAAAGGACACATATTTAGCTGAGCAGAAGAGGTATCAGAACCTCCAATGAAGGGAGGAATATAATTCAAGAACTACAAGGACTATGAAGCTAAGAACAAAGCAAGTCCTTTCTTCACCATGATTTTGAGGAGATCTAGAATATTTTTAATCAAAGAGTTCTCTAGAATAATTTTTAAATAATTGATTTAAAATATAATATGAATCGCAGGCCTCAGATGAAAAGGCAACTTCTTATTTTATTAAAATTTACAAAATCCCTGTACTGCAAAAAAAACCCAAAAAACCAAAACAAACCCAACAAAAAAACCCCAAAGCAACCAGAATACAACCATTTGTGTGTATAAGCCCCTAAAAAAAAAAAAATCTATTTTACAACAGTATAGAAATAATAGCTGCATTTTGGGAATGTACTTCCTGCATTTTCTTTCACCAGGGACACCTTTTTCCTGTCCCTTTAAACTCTCAATTCCTTCTCTTAGCAGCTACTGTGATAGAGCCCTACCTCTGAATGGCTGGGAAGAGTGCGGTGTGAGTAACTCTTTTCAGAAGCTGCCATCAATTCATCGTTAAGGAGAATCCTGAAGGAGCAGTTTGTGAGCTCTCCAGCTGGCATCTTCCTCCAAAGAGATCAATCACATTACCTCCTCGACATGTTCAACTTCAACCAGTCCAGGAAGCAAGAGCCCCAAGTTTGTTTTAAAACCTGTCTCCAGCTCAGCAGCCTTGCGGGCCATTGCTATGCCACCTGGCTTGCTCATCAAACTATTTATCATTTCCATTAATGCTGCCTTTGTGCTGCACAGGAAGAATGCAGGCAAATGCACTTTGCAATAGGCTGAACACATCAACCTTTTTCTGTAAGAAAACACTAATGCTTTTTTAAAGGCTACTCCTTATCTTCCCCATATCAAAAATTTCAGAACTAATAATATACTGCTTTGTAGAGCCACCAGAAAACAGTCTCCCTATTCTTAGTAACTTGTTTCCTCTCACACCTCTCTGTACTCTCCTCCTTCCCTGACAGCCCCCCTGACCAGTTTTTTTGGTTATGTCTTAGAAAAATCTCACTGTGTATTGGTCTTTGAAAAGGGTATGGGTAGAAGGGAGGAGAATGCTGGTTTATTGGCATTGATAGAATGTTTTGCTTCAACTGGAACAGTTAATTGCTGCAAAATGACTCACAGAGATTACCCATGAACTCTAAAATTTAGTTTTATCATCTTCAACTAAAAACAAAAACCACTTCTAGTGGAAAGTTAAAAAGAAATTTCACAACCTAGCATTGGATCTTGAACAGTGGGCTATTTTGTGCTGTAATATCTAATACAACAACACTGTTAAGAAAAGAAAAGAGGAAATAGAGAGAAATAAAAAAGACGGCTTGATGGACCTTTCATATTTATTCATATTAAGCCTTTTTTACTACACTAAGATCATTTCACTCAATTTCAGCAGTGTAAAGCATCC